AAAATAAAATAACATTAATGGTTAGTGGAGGGTGATGGACAATCGGACGAAAGCGTACAAAAAGTTAAAATAAAATAAAATGTTTGGTAAGTGGAGGATGATAGACAAACAATGAAGCGTACAAAAACCTAAAATAAAGTAAAATAAAATAAAATTTATGGTAGGTGGAGAGTGATGAAAAAACTATGAAAGCGTACCAATTCTAACAAACGCGAGCGATCTTTCGAAACTAAGCTTTGACATTCTTTGTTGAGAATCTAAGTATGAGTAAGTCCCACGTCGGATAGAAATGAAAAGTAAAACAGTATATAAAGATGAAAGACCCATTAATCTATTGTCTTAAGGTTTTGGATAAAAATAAAGACCCATTAATCTTTTTGTTGTTTTTGTTTCATTCTAATAGAAATCTTCCGAGTAGACACTTTTTCTGTTTTTAATGAATTAAAATATGATTATTGTTGACTTTCTTTTTCTCACTTAAATTCTTCCAATCTTTAATAATGGATTTATGTGTTTCCATATTTTTAGTTGGGTCTACTAGTACCGTTTTTCCAATGCAAAATACAATGTTATTTAGACTTGAATCTAGGACAATGTAAGTTTGTCATGACCTATTATTAGAGTGTCTGACAAAAAGGGAAAAGATACAATATATGGGTGTACAATTTCAAAAAATCTAATATAGTCAAAATAGGTTAGAATCTGTGGGTCAACCCGGCCCACTATGGGTTCGAGTCAGGTTGGGTTTAAAAAAAATGTCATGTTTTGATACGGACTAATTTTTAACCTGGTCCACTTAGAACCCGGCTCACTTGGATTTAACCCGTGGTGAGCTAGGTTGGCTCACCAACACACCTGATTTAATTTAATTATTTATTACTTTATGTTTTAATATGATTAGTTAACACTTTTTTTTATTGTGTTGTAGATGGGAATAAAGAAAAAGATGTTTTAAGAGAGAAAAATATTATGTTGAGATAATATCTATTAAATTTTATTGCGCTTTAATTCCTTAAAGCAAGTTCTAAAATTATTTATTAAATTATTAATTTCTTAATTAATTTAACCGATAACTTTGCATTAATTTCAGATGTTGAGAATGACCAAAAGCACATAAGTTATTCCTAGCGTAGTTACTTTTAGTTGCTTTTCTTACGTTTCTGTTCTAAAAATACTTCTTAGTACAAAAGAACGTTTAAAGATAATTATACTTTCGCATAATTATAAACAAGTCAAGAAAAGCACAAGAAAAGTCACATATATTGCACAAGAAAATTACATTAATGTATTGTCATACAACCAATTCCAATGAATAGAAAAACTAGCCTCTCCTAGACATCTAAAACATACTCTTTACAGCAATTCCTTGCAGAAAATGAAGTCTTGATGCCTTGAAGAGTCTCCTGAGCGTCTCTAGAATTGTTCGTACTTTGTTTTGTCAAAGATCTTTTCTATCTTTCTGTCACGTCTTTGTAAGCCACTTAACTTCATTAATTCGCTCAGCGCACATGTGTGTATGCGTTGTGCGAATTTTTTTAATTGTTGCACTTCAACTGATGCTCTTCGCTCAGCACACAAGTACTGATGCGCTATGAGAATGTCCTCCTTCTGGCAGTGTGAATTTTGGCTTCTGTTTAGCGAGAATTGGCTGACAACAGACCAAATAATACAAGCTTTCCTGTACAATGTTTTACATAACATCTACTTCCTATTACACTTTCACTGAGTAACAACATGAATAATTACTAGATTGAGTTCATTTTAAATGTAAAAACAACTCTTTTTCACACTTATCAAAATGTCATCTACTTAAAAAAAATCATCTTGGAACACTTCTAAATAAGATTATTGTGTGACAAGGTGACAAATATTAATGAAGGATTAACATGCCCATGACATAATTAGTCGAGACCCATCCACGTAAGATTTATTAGAATACTATAAATAGAACACATATTATAATGTATGTTAAGAAAAAAATGTTTATATGTCTAAACACTCTTCAAGAATCTAAAAATACCATAGGTAGAAACATAAGTATTAGGTTCAAAATCCACAACAACAGAAAAGTCTTTATAAAACACTTAAGATTGTAGAAAACACAAAAATACCTATGTCAAAACACCCAAACACAATGCTAAATGAGTAGTAAGTCAAAAACGTCTAAGAGATTTACACTAAAGCTATATTGTACTCAAGCGTATTCAGTTGGACTCTCAGAAAACAAAAAAAATGTTAAGACTATATCTTTGACAAAACACTCTTAAAGCTTAAACCAAAAACATAAAAACTTAACCTGATAAACACTCTTAAAGGAAATATCACAAAAAAATGTTTACATTAGTCCAAACAATACCATGAACTAAAAATGTTACTTCGTCAAATGATGAAGTTCTTACTCAATGCTTGGTATCTTTAGATAAAAGCTCAATTGATAAACGCTACCTCAACGATAAGAAGAGAAAGAAAGAGAAAAGAGAGAAACATCTGTGAGTGTTTATACTGTATTGAATTGTAAACACATTCTCTTTGCGAGAGTAATTGTCTAGACGACTTGTAAGAAATCGTTGATTGTAATTCTGAAGAGAATTAAAACACTTGTTGAACTCAAATGAGTTAAGGAAATCTAGGCAACATATCAAAGGATACTAGGATTGTCTAGTATCAAGAGTGGTGCAAATACTCAATTGATCCAAGGTAACAGAAGGTTATTCACTAATCAATGATACCAGAAGTGGTGCGAATATTCATCCAATCTAGGGTAACGGAAGGTTATTCGCGATTGAGGATACCAGGAGTAGTGCGAATACTCATCCAGTTTAGGGTAAGGGAAGGTTATTTATTGATTGAGAATATCAAGAATTGTGAGAATACTCAATTGTAATCTTGTTGAAGATTATAATGGAACCCTTTGTGATAGAGGAGACTGGACGTAACTTAGTTAGAGTGAACCAGTATAAAAATATCTATGCATTTATTATTTATCTTTGCTTAAATGTTTCTCTCATAAAAACCTATAGTAGCACTTTAGTTTTACAAAACAAGAATTTTCTCATACTAAACGGTTGTTCTTTAACTATAAGGAAGTTCTTACAAACCCTACAGTATATATTTTGAATATCACGTGAACATAAGTTATCGTTTACAATTACTTGAAGTCGAGTGTTTAACAACTATTTGATAAATCTCATACTCGACGAACGTTCTATATTAGAAGGGTTGCGAAATTTTTTTTCCATTAACACTATTCAACCCTCTCTTCTAGTGTTTTTCAGGTACTTCAATGTATTGTTGAATAATCTTATTACATATATTATGCATGTATTGTGTATTATTGACTTGAGTATCGAAATATTTTTTCAAACATTCCCTTCATTTATATTTGAAAGTAGATGTAGAAAATCTCAATCAAGAAAACAATATCTTGAAATAAAATAAGTTAAGGAAGCATCAATCATATTCAAAATCCTTTTCTTCGTTATACTGTTATACTGAATTGGCTGTATTTTTGGAAATTTGTGACAGAATTTTGGTAAAAAATAAATAACATATTTAAAAAAAATCCAATTTTAATGACAGTTAACACAAATCATCATTGTTTGAGAAATATAATGACAGGTAATACACTAACCATGGTCATATGTCAATCTACAATTTTAAAATTTTAAATTGAGATGGGCTTATAACGACGTTTAGACATACAACTGTCGTTATAAGTCCTATGTCATTTTTATTTATTTTTATTTACTTCATTTGTTTAACGATAGTGTTCATAAATGGTTGTGGTTTGAAACTTTAGTGACAGTTTCCAAACAATCATTGTTTTTTATCAAACTTTTAACGATGACCTATTCAATGACGGTTTGAAAGTCGTAGTGGAAAGACTCATTTAACTTTGGAAAATGTTTTTTTAACAACTTTTTTTGACAACTTTTTTACAATCGTTTATGTGGTAGCTTGTGATTGGTCCGTTTCAAATATATGAACCAATAAAATAGTGACATATAGTCTATTGTCAAAAAGTTGTTAAAAAAATTGTTAATATATCATGGTCCTTTAACGGTAGTCAATAGCCTTTCTATAGTAGGGTCTTTTTCATTTGATAGCCATTTCCTATCATCTTTGTCTAAGTCTCTTCTTCCCTTTCCCTTCGTTCACCATGATTGGGGCTACTATACCTAAATATCCTAGAACCAAAAAGTATGAAAATTTTCTTTGTAAAATGAAGTATTTTAGATTGAATGATATTGTATAGTATAAGGTATAGATAATGTTGTCTTCTTAAAACAACATTACATCCCAAATAAGATTATCATGTTAAGATAGGATAAAAAATGTTAATGATAGATAAACATACTTAAAACTTCAAATCAAGGTTCATTTAAGTAAGTAATATTATAATACTATCAATAGAGAACATAAATTACAACGTGTTATTTAGTAATTTCATTATATTTATCATACATGTCTTACATATTGAAATATTTTTTCATACATTCCGACTTGTTACCTTTATTTGAAATTGGATCTAGAAGATCTCAGTAAACAACATCTCAAAGTAAAATAATTTGTGAAAACACTGGAATCAAGAACATCTCATTCCAATAAATTCATTATGAAAATTTTATTTATAGTTATACAGATGGAACTTTTTTAAATACAAACAATTTATTATAAATAAACATGTCGGTTTAAATTTTGACTAAATATAAAAACACCACTTAAAACAAACACCTAAAAACCTAAAAACCAAAAGAAAAAAAAATATTGTTAACAACAAAACAAGAATAGAAATATTATGTTTTGGATTACACATTTCTCAGAATATATTTCTTGAGTAAAGATTCTTTGACGGACCTAAATATTTTACATTCATTTGACATTATCCTTACTTATTTTTATTTTCTTTTTTCTTGAAATAATACAAAAGTTTGCACTTTTTTTTACCATTTTATCCCTTAGCTTGTGTCAAATGAATGTAAAAGTGTGTCCTGTTATCATTACTTATTTCTTAAATAGCCAAAATACTAAAGCGCGGAAGTTTTACTGATTGGCAATTGTGGAAGGGTGATAATAAAGGATGGGAATTAAGCAAAGATCATTTGCTCTTCGAACAGTAAGGCCAAAGGACTCCGACATGTCGAATGTTTGGTGATTGGTTCCATATGGCAGCTTCCAAACAAAATGGTAAAGCAAATTGGCCAGTAACAGCAACATGTTAGGCACGGAAAATGCAGCTCCTGGACAAATTCTCCTTCCAGCCCCAAAAGGGATGTATTCAAAGTGCGTGCCACTGAAATCATAAGAACTCTGAAGAAATCTCTCAGGCAGAAATCTCTCTGCTTCATTCCAATACATTGGATCTCTACCAATGGCCCAAGCATTGATAATGACCTTGCTCTTTGCAGGGATTTCATATCCATTGATCACACAAGCCTCAATGTTTTCTCTTGGAACTAACAATGCCTCTGGAGGATGCAGCCTCATTGTTTCTTTCATCACTGAATTTAAGTATTCACACTCTCCAAGTTCTGCTTCATCCACAAATCCTTTCTCATTGAACACCTTTCTCACCTCGCTCTGTGCCTTCTCCATTACCTCAGGATTTCTCATCAGTTCTGACATTGCCCATACTACAACTGCTGCCGGTGCTGCAGTCCCACCCACAAACATGTCCTGAAATTAATCAACCATTAATTAATAGCTTTAGAAATCAATTATTTTTTCTTCTTCTTTTAATATGTCATTACTCTATTGGAGATTTTAATTAAAGAATAAAAGGTACGAAAATTCAAAACTTTTTGTGATAGAACAGACCATAAAAACTTGAATGTTAAAATCGTAGATGATAATAGTTTCGTATTAAAATATGAATATTGAGTCTAAAATCTTAATGCAGAACTTTTATTTATTATTTATTTATGTATTTATGTATTGTGTATAGCTCCTTATAAATAAATAACTCAATCGGGTTTTGTTGCGTAGAAATCTATATAAGTAAAAATAATGGGTATAATTGTTCATAAAGTATAAAGATAAATGTCTACCCAAATAGAAATCGTATTAAAACTCAACAAACAATATCCAACATTCAATATGGGAGAGTATAAAACAAACCTCAAAGTAATAAATTTATATAGATCGATTTTTTTTTAAAAAAAAAAAAAACATACCAGCGAATTCCAATAAATAAAAAGCTAAAACGACCGTGTTTACACCAAAATCTTAAGCATAAAAAAGAAAATAAGAAAAATCAATTAAATTCCAAACTCTATCAAAGATGTCAATAGATATACTGATAAAATTGTTACAAATTGGTCTTGCTGACCGTGAGTGATTTAAATGGTGCTAGAAATATATGGTTTATACGACATTGTAATGTCTAAAGAAAAAAAAAAACAATATCCTAGGTTTTTATTAAAATCAAATCGATTCTATCAAATTAGGTTTATGTTATAAAGAATTAAATATTTTCTTTTTGTTTTATGAAACTAATTCAAGTACACCTGTGACTTGTTTGTTTGGGAAGGAAAAAAACAAAAAGGACATAGACAGAAGTATACCTAACTTAATTAAGTCTTTTCTCGAGAAGGAAATCAATCAAATGTTTAGGGACCACTCTTTCATCATTTTTGTCTATTGGTAAAAATATTTTTTATTTTCATAAACTCTAATTCTTTATACATGGTTGAGTAAGTCCTTGTGTTATAACACTAAAGAAATTAGTGTTAATGAAAAGTTTATGTAAATAAGTAAAATTAAAGTTAATTAACTAATATTTTTTTGTGAACCTTGTGTGTGATTCTAAAACTACATACACGAATTCGTTTACATCAAATTTTGAAGATAAATTAAGTTGATACTTTTTTTCACTAACTTTTAAATTAATTTTTTAATTAAATCAGTTTGTCAAGTCGAAAATAAGGTGTTTTTATTTTAAAATTTATTTAATTTAACATCGATGTTAGTTTAAGAAAAGAGTTCTTCGAATGTTTCAAAAGAATAAAATACAAAAAATATATATAAAAAAAAATTGTGGTGAATGAAGTAGATGAGTGTAAATAAAAAATATAAACGTGGTTGAAAATAAGAGTGTAAATGAAGATAAGGAAAAAAGTATAAATAAAAGAAATCCATATGGATAAAAGATATGAGTGTGGATGAAAAGACCACACAAATAAAAAAAATGAATGTAAAAATATTTATATAAAAAATTGGAGAGAAAAAGTGTGAATAAAGAATATAAATGTGGTTGAAAAAAAAGTGTAAATGAAGATAAGGAAAAAAGTACAAATGAAAAAAATGTGTATGAATAAAAAAGATAAGCATGATTGAAAAGACCACATAAATAAGAAAATGAATATAAAAAATTGGAGAGAAAAAGTGTGAAATACGACATTTATCATCTTAAAATTTAAATGTTTAGATTAAAATTTATACATTACCATACTCACATATTCAAACGTTAATTTGGTTAATCCTAACATAAGTAAATATAAATAATATAACATTAATACAGTCAATTGAATCACTTTACAAATACCTATCATTAAACCACCTACTATAATCTAACATTAATACAAAAAATTATTTATAAAAAAAGTTAAAAGAATTTTATCATTTTAACACTTTTTTTTAAATAATCTTTTGTGTCTTATTAGAGTCACTTAAATAAACTTTATTATACCATTCCACATTAAGTAAACTTTATTAACATGAGGGTAATCAACACTAATACTAAAATAAATATTTATTTATTAAAAGTGGTTAAAAATCATTTTTAACTTTATTTCTAAAACAATTAATCTTATGTGTGAGGTTCAAAGTCCGTTAGCTAGTTGAGCCTAATAATGTTACAATTTAATCTACACTAATTTTTGAAAAGTTAATTTTGTGTTTCTTTTATAATGCAAATACATACAAATCTTTTTTGTGTTTCGTATATAAATCATAAATCATGATTCTTCTCTCATTTTCCTTTTAATTTTAAGAGAAAAATGTTTTCTATTATATGTTTTCGTATTCCAATTTATTAAGAGATGATTTGAGGTTTTCCTCAAATGATTTGAAATTATTTCATTATGAATATATTCAGCATATGTGGGTCTCATAATTCATTGTTTAGAAATAATATTTTAATAAGTTGTTACTTCGAATTTTTATACATTAAACTATATCCATGCAGAGNGGTTATTTATTGATTGAGAATATCAAGAATTGTGAGAATACTCAATTGTAATCTTGTTGAAGATTATAATGGAACCCTTTGTGATAGAGGAGACTGGACGTAACTTAGTTAGAGTGAACCAGTATAAAAATATCTATGCATTTATTATTTATCTTTGCTTAAATGTTTCTCTCATAAAAACCTATAGTAGCACTTTAGTTTTACAAAACAAGAATTTTCTCATACTAAACGGTTGTTCTTTAACTATAAGGAAGTTCTTACAAACCCTACAGTATATATTTTGAATATCACGTGAACATAAGTTATCGTTTACAATTACTTGAAGTCGAGTGTTTAACAACTATTTGATAAATCTCATACTCGACGAACGTTCTATATTAGAAGGGTTGCGAAATTTTTTTTCCATTAACACTATTCAACCCTCTCTTCTAGTGTTTTTCAGGTACTTCAATGTATTGTTGAATAATCTTATTACATATATTATGCATGTATTGTGTATTATTGACTTGAGTATCGAAATATTTTTTCAAACATTCCCTTCATTTATATTTGAAAGTAGATGTAGAAAATCTCAATCAAGAAAACAATATCTTGAAATAAAATAAGTTAAGGAAGCATCAATCATATTCAAAATCCTTTTCTTCGTTATACTGTTATACTGAATTGGCTGTATTTTTGGAAATTTGTGACAGAATTTTGGTAAAAAATAAATAACATATTTAAAAAAAATCCAATTTTAATGACAGTTAACACAAATCATCATTGTTTGAGAAATATAATGACAGGTAATACACTAACCATGGTCATATGTCAATCTACAATTTTAAAATTTTAAATTGAGATGGGCTTATAACGACGTTTAGACATACAACTGTCGTTATAAGTCCTATGTCATTTTTATTTATTTTTATTTACTTCATTTGTTTAACGATAGTGTTCATAAATGGTTGTGGTTTGAAACTTTAGTGACAGTTTCCAAACAATCATTGTTTTTTATCAAACTTTTAACGATGACCTATTCAATGACGGTTTGAAAGTCGTAGTGGAAAGACTCATTTAACTTTGGAAAATGTTTTTTTAACAACTTTTTTTGACAACTTTTTTACAATCGTTTATGTGGTAGCTTGTGATTGGTCCGTTTCAAATATATGAACCAATAAAATAGTGACATATAGTCTATTGTCAAAAAGTTGTTAAAAAAATTGTTAATATATCATGGTCCTTTAACGGTAGTCAATAGCCTTTCTATAGTAGGGTCTTTTTCATTTGATAGCCATTTCCTATCATCTTTGTCTAAGTCTCTTCTTCCCTTTCCCTTCGTTCACCATGATTGGGGCTACTATACCTAAATATCCTAGAACCAAAAAGTATGAAAATTTTCTTTGTAAAATGAAGTATTTTAGATTGAATGATATTGTATAGTATAAGGTATAGATAATGTTGTCTTCTTAAAACAACATTACATCCCAAATAAGATTATCATGTTAAGATAGGATAAAAAATGTTAATGATAGATAAACATACTTAAAACTTCAAATCAAGGTTCATTTAAGTAAGTAATATTATAATACTATCAATAGAGAACATAAATTACAACGTGTTATTTAGTAATTTCATTATATTTATCATACATGTCTTACATATTGAAATATTTTTTCATACATTCCGACTTGTTACCTTTATTTGAAATTGGATCTAGAAGATCTCAGTAAACAACAACTCAAAGTAAAATAATTTGTGAAAACACTGGAATCAAGAACATCTCATTCCAATAAATTCATTATGAAAATTTTATTTATAGTTATACAGATGGAACTTTTTTAAATACAAACAATTTATTATAAATAAACATGTCGGTTTAAATTTTGACTAAATATAAAAACACCACTTAAAACAAACACCTAAAAACCTAAAAACCAAAAGAAAAAAAAATATTGTTAACAACAAAACAAGAATAGAAATATTATGTTTTGGATTACACATTTCTCAGAATATATTTCTTGAGTAAAGATTCTTTGACGGACCTAAATATTTTACATTCATTTGACATTATCCTTACTTATTTTTATTCTCTTCTTTCTTGAAATAATACAAAAGTTTACACTTTTTTTTACCATTTTATCTCTTAGCTTGTGTCAAATGAATGTAAAAGTGTGTCCTGTTATCATTACTTATTTCTTAAATAGCCAAAATACTAAAGCGCGAAAGTTTTACTGATAGGCAATTGTGGAAGGGTGATAATAAAGGATGGGAATTAAGCAAAGATCATTTGCTCTTCGAACAGTAAGGCCAAAGGACTCCGACATGTCGAATGTTTGGTGATTGGTTCCATATGGCAGCTTCCAAACAAAATGGTAAAGCAAATTGGCCAGTAACAGCAACATGTTAGGCACGGAAAATGCAGCTCCTGGACAAATTCTCCTTCCAGCCCCAAAAGGGATGTATTCAAAGTGCGTGCCACTGAAATCATAAGAACTCTGAAGAAATCTCTCAGGCAGAAATCTCTCTGCTTCATTCCAATACATTGGATCTCTACCAATGGCCCAAGCATTGATAATGACCTTGCTCTTTGCAGGGATTTCATATCCATTGATCACACAAGCCTCAATGTTTTCTCTTGGAACTAACAATGCCTCTGGAGGATGCAGCCTCATTGTTTCTTTCATCACTGAATTTAAGTATTCACACTCTCCAAGTTCTGCTTCATCCACAAATCCTTTCTCATTGAACACCTTTCTCACCTCGCTCTGTGCCTTCTCCATTACCTCAGGATTTCTCATCAGTTCTGACATTGCCCATACTACAACTGCTGCCGGTGCTGCAGTCCCACCCACAAACATGTCCTGAAATTAATCAACCATTAATTAATAGCTTTAGAAATCAATTATTTTTTCTTCTTCTTTTAATATGTCATTACTCTATTGGAGATTTTAATTAAAGAATAAAAGGTACGAAAATTCAAAACTTTTTGTGATAGAACAGACCATAAAAACTTGAATGTTAAAATCGTAGATGATAATAGTTTCGTATTAAAATATGAATATTGAGTCTAAAATCTTAATGCAGAACTTTTATTTATTATTTATTTATGTATTTATGTATTGTGTATAGCTCCTTATAAATAAATAACTCAATCGGGTTTTGTTGCGTAGAAATCTATATAAGTAAAAATAATGGGTATAATTGTTCATAAAGTATAAAGATAAATGTCTACCCAAATAGAAATCGTATTAAAACTCAACAAACAATATCCAACATTCAATATGGGAGAGTATAAAACAAACCTCAAAGTAATAAATTTATATAGATCGATTTTTTTTAAAAAAAAAAAAAACATACCAGCGAATTCCAATAAATAAAAAGCTAAAACGACCGTGTTTACACCAAAATCTTAAGCATAAAAAAGAAAATAAGAAAAATCAATTAAATTCCAAACTCTATCAAAGATGTCAATAGATATACTGATAAAATTGTTACAAATTGGTCTTGCTGACCGTGAGTGATTTAAATGGTGCTAGAAATATATGGTTTATACGACATTGTAATGTCTAAAGAAAAAAAAAAACAATATCCTAGGTTTTTATTAAAATCAAATCGATTCTATCAAATTAGGTTTATGTTATAAAGAATTAAATATTTTCTTTTTGTTTTATGAAACTAATTCAAGTACACCTGTGACTTGTTTGTTTGGGAAGGAAAAAAACAAAAAGGACATAGACAGAAGTATACCTAACTTAATTAAGTCTTTTCTCGAGAAGGAAATCAATCAAATGTTTAGGGACCACTCTTTCATCATTTTTGTCTATTGGTAAAAATATTTTTTATTTTCATAAACTCTAATTCTTTATACATGGTTGAGTAAGTCCTTGTGTTATAACACTAAAGAAATTAGTGTTAATGAAAAGTTTATGTAAATAAGTAAAATTAAAGTTAATTAACTAATATTTTTTTGTGAACCTTGTGTGTGATTCTAAAACTACATACACGAATTCGTTTACATCAAATTTTGAAGATAAATTAAGTTGATACTTTTTTTCACTAACTTTTAAATTAATTTTTTAATTAAATCAGTTTGTCAAGTCGAAAATAAGGTGTTTTTATTTTAAAATTTATTTAATTTAACATCGATGTTAGTTTAAGAAAAGAGTTCTTCGAATGTTTCAAAAGAATAAAATACAAAAAATATATATAAAAAAAAATTGTGGTGAATGAAGTAGATGAGTGTAAATAAAAAATATAAACGTGGTTGAAAATAAGAGTGTAAATGAAGATAAGGAAAAAAGTATAAATAAAAGAAATCCATATGGATAAAAGATATGAGTGTGGATGAAAAGACCACACAAATAAAAAAAATGAATGTAAAAATATTTATATAAAAAATTGGAGAGAAAAAGTGTGAATAAAGAATATAAATGTGGTTGAAAAAAAAGTGTAAATGAAGATAAGGAAAAAAGTACAAATGAAAAAAATGTGTATGAATAAAAAAGATAAGCATGATTGAAAAGACCACATAAATAAGAAAATGAATATAAAAAATTGGAGAGAAAAAGTGTGAAATACGACATTTATCATCTTAAAATTTAAATGTTTAGATTAAAATTTATACATTACCATACTCACATATTCAAACGTTAATTTGGTTAATCCTAACATAAGTAAATATAAATAATATAACATTAATACAGTCAATTGAATCACTTTACAAATACCTATCATTAAACCACCTACTATAATCTAACATTAATACAAAAAATTATTTATAAAAAAAGTTAAAAGAATTTTATCATTTTAACACTTTTTTTTAAATAATCTTTTGTGTCTTATTAGAGTCACTTAAATAAACTTTATTATACCATTCCACATTAAGTAAACTTTATTAACATGAGGGTAATCAACACTAATACTAAAATAAATATTTATTTATTAAAAGTGGTTAAAAATCATTTTTAACTTTATTTCTAAAACAATTAATCTTATGTGTGAGGTTCAAAGTCCGTTAGCTAGTTGAGCCTAATAATGTTACAATTTAATCTACACTAATTTTTGAAAAGTTAATTTTGTGTTTCTTTTATAATGCAAATACATACAAATCTTTTTTGTGTTTCGTATATAAATCATAAATCATGATTCTTCTCTCATTTTCCTTTTAATTTTAAGAGAAAAATGTTTTCTATTATATGTTTTCGTATTCCAATTTATTAAGAGATGATTTGAGGTTTTCCTCAAATGATTTGAAATTATTTCATTATGAATATATTCAGCATATGTGGGTCTCATAATTCATTGTTTAGAAATAATATTTTAATAAGTTGTTACTTCGAATTTTTATACATTAAACTATATCCATGCAGAGTTTTTTTGTTCTGTAGAATAAATTTTCAGGGTTATCTGATTTATACTTTGATTATATATATATATATATATATATATATATATATATTTTTTTTTTTTTGTGAATTTTATATTTAGTCTTTGAAAAAAATATTTTTTTATTTAATTTTTATTATTATATTGAATACTTTAAGTGATTTAAAAATGTTTTTAGTTTTTATTATTTTTCATGCCAATTTGTCAGAGACATAAACATGTGTGTTTGTTTTTCTGAATTATTAAAGAAAATAGCATACTGACCCAGATGACAGCTTTAATGTTGTTGTGAGTCAAGGGAATTTCCAGGTCATTTCTTTTTTGTGTTTTGAGAAGAACGTCAATGAAATCCTCTTGCATCTCCTTCTGGCTGTTGGTATTTTTTTCCATGTGATCCTTCAGCATATTTTCTAGGATCTTGTCATTCTCTCTCTGCGCTCTTTCAAGTTTAGTTTTGATTCCTGTAAGAAAAGGAAGCACTGTGATTGAAGGGTAGAAATCAGCAATGGAGAAGCCTCCCAACAGCTGCAACACTTGCTCCATGGCTGATATGAACGCTTCTTGGTCTTTGCACCTTTTGCCATTTGATGCTCTGGCAATTATTACATTCATCACCGACTCAATTTCCTTGCTGAGGTTCAAAATCGATCCTTCATTGGCACACACCTTTCTAACTAGATTAGCCACCTCTTCTTCTCTTACGAACCTCAGTGATTGAACATGCTTTGCATGTAGCAACTCTGAAACGCAAATCTTTTTAAGTTGTCTCCAAGTTTTTCCATAAGGAGAAAAGGCTATGTCGCTGCTATCATAAACAAAGAATTTTGAAGCAATAAGATGAGGCCTGTTGGCAAAGATGGCATCATGAGTTTTCAAAACCTCTTTGGCAATATCTGCTGAAGAGACTATTATGTGTGATTTTTGACCAAGTTGCAGGTGCATCAATGGTCCAAATTGGTTAGCCAAGTTTCTCAGAGTTTGATGGGGAAGAGCCCCAACAAATTGGTGAATGTTGCCAAGAAGAGGCAGCTTCCATGGTCCAGGTGGCAAGTTTTTGAGGGACTTTTGGGGATTTGAAAGCCTCTGAATGAAGAACAATATGGAGGCAAAGGTGAAGAGGAGAGAGAAGGGACTGAGAAGCTCCATGATGAGAAATGAAAAGTTGTACAAACATGTGTAAATGGTAGAGTTATAAATAGAAAAAATATCACTTGACACACAAATTTTTTACATTTGATACTATTTTTTCTTATTTTTTACATATGACACCACTTTTCTTATTTTTTATTATTATTTTTTAAAAAAAATACAAACTTTATATTTTCAAGATTATTTTATCTTTATAGTACTGTACGTCAAATAAATGTAAAACGTCTGATGATATTGTTATTCTTATACATAAGTGAGGAAGAAATTAGTTTCAGACAATTGCACGTGACACTTTTTGTTTATTCTCTCATTATAAAGAAAGAAAACATGTAAAAAATGTAGTTTTCTCAACCTACCATTTTCCACTCTCTTAAAAAACATGTCAAAATGTGGGTTTATCCACAGACCATTATCGATATTCACACGTCTCTTCTTTTCTATTATTATAAATGATTAATTTAATTTTAATAAAAATAATTAAATTTAAATAAATAATGATTTAAAAAAGATAAAATAGTAAAATAATTATGTTGATTAAAAAATAATTAAGTTTAAATTAATGATCAATTGAAAAGTAAATAAAATCTAATTATTTTAATTAAAAATGACAATTACTTTAAAATAAAATTAGAAGAAAAAAAGTGTAAAAAATCATACATATTTATCAACAAACACAAAAAGCAGTTTTTTCTATAATTATAAAATAGAAGTTAGATATAATTCTCGAATTCATATAATATCATTATATAATATAAAAATGTCATCATGATGAAATAATTATTACATAAAATTATACCGACATGAAACTATCATGATTGTCATCATAATTATGAATGTAAAGAAAGCAGTGTCATCATAATTGTAAAAAAAAGTGTACTAAACGAAAGGAAAATGACACTTGAACAACCATTTTTGACAACATTTAGAAACGCACACACGTGTCAAAATATGAGTGGTCCAGTTGGAAAAATTAAATGAAAATGGACCACTCAGATTTTGACACGTGTGCGCGTGTCTAAATGTTGTCAAAAATGGTTGTTCAAGTATCATTTTCCTAAACGAAATTCATGTGTTTTTTAAATGAATGTAACTTTCTCAACCCTTATATCATATAAGTCTATAAAGGAAACGTGGTGCACGATGAAATTGGAAGATTAAATTTTAAATTTTGAATTATGGATTACTACTTAACTACTACATTTTTTTATGGAATGAAATATGTGACACCTTGAGTATTAAAAAATATATTATATTTATAAGATAAATGGTCAAAGAACATAAATTTTCTTTACATCATTTCATCTCAATATCATTTTAACATCTGGACTCTTTCATACTATATCGAATCAGAATGTATTATCATGCTCAAGATCATTTCGGGTACACAACCTAAAGCCGTCTCAATCTATAATTTTAATATCGACTCAAATTATTGATTATTTCATACAATTTTGGATTATGTTTAGATGATCAAGATCTTTTTAGTTGACACCATACTATGTTGACAAGACATTACAAAAGTATAGGTGAATTGTAATTAATTAAGGTTAACAATTAACTCACATTATTAATTACCTCATACAATTTTGGATTATGTTTAGATGATCAAAATCTCTTTAATCAAAACCATACTATGTTAGACCAAGACATTACAAAAGTGTAGGTGAATTGTAATTAACTAAAGTTAACAATTAAAGTACATTACCAAGACATTAAGAAAATTAATCAAGGTGATTATCTATGTGGACCAAGCCGAAGCAGGTAAAAGCCCATAAACATAGTATAAAAAACATCATTAATGAGGTAAGTTAATTACATTTATTATTACAATATTTAATGCTTTTTGGCACACATCCCTAACTTAAGTGTCAAATGTCTTTTAAGAAATACCCTAGCTTAGACTAAGATGACATATAAACCTAGGACCATCTCGGATTGAAGGTTGAGGAATTGAGAAAGAGCTTCTTGTGGAGTGTTCATGACATGTTTTCAGTCATGTAAGAACATGCTAATATATGCAACAACATTTAATATATAAAGCATTATAAGAAATATACTTATAATGTCCTTAAAATCTCTGAAGCAATTCAAAAACCAAATGTATACATGAAAGTTTCTCGAAGATATAATAATTTGAAATGCAATGGGAGTATCTTAAAGCATCTATAGATGTATTTAAAATACTAAAAACTTTAGCCGCATCTCTTTAATAGTTTAATTGTTGCTCAACATCCTCTCCTACAACCCCATCTACCACATATACTATACGAACATAGCATATGGTTAAACCACAAACCAACAACCAAAAGAAGGGTAAGCTAATGTAAATAAAATTATTCATAATCAATTAAAATAAAAAACATATACTCAATTATTCTAATTAAGCAAAATCATATGATAACATAAAATTCAACATTTAATCCATCACACAAACTCATACACCACTAACATTTCAGGTCTACTTCCGAAATGCATATTTATTGAGTAGACTCAGAGATAATGCACCTATCACCTCCCACCCTTGCCCACAAAGGTTATAGCTATATATCTCAAGGTTGGTCAATCCCCCTTCCATAGAGCATGACAGGGTAAATTTTATATTTATAAGTTTGATCAACCACCAAAATTCAAAATATAGAGCCTCCTTCAACTTTTACAACTAGACATCTTCCTCTATTAGAGTAGGAATCTAGAAGAGTTAGGTTAATCTCCTCAAATCCCCCTCAATACACTACTTAAAACACGATCAATGTAATATTTCCTCCTTTGAAATCTCTATATTATCCCCAATCCATACTGTGAGACCCAGGAAAGTGCACACCCATAATTACCTGTCACGTCCAGTAATGAATCCCGAAAACCCCTCTGCAGTGCATTAAAAACGCACTTTCATTCTCTCTGTCCCCTTGCCAAGTGTCTAACCCATAACAGGGAAGGATCTAATACACAGACTGGATATCAACACTTTAAGTCGCTCCTCAGTTCGTTCTCAAACTTCCTGCATTGCCATTCTTCACTTGTTGCAATGGTATTAAAACGGACCAGATGCTTGAATTTGTTGGTGTACTCCGAGACGGACATCCCACCTTGTACCAACTGTAGGAACTCTACCTCCTTAGCAAACCGCACACTGTCGGGGAATACTCTTCATAAAATTTAGCCCTGAAAACTTCCCAGGAAATGGGACTTTGAGCTTCGGCCAACAACATCTTCATGCTCGACCACCAATGGCTAGCTTCTCCGGTCAACAAATACTCTGTGAACGCCAAACGGTTGTCATTTGGACACCTTTTGGCATCATAGATCCTTTCCATATCCCTCAGCCATTGATCCGCTTCCTCTAGAAGCCCCTTTCCATTAAACTTAGCAGGGTGGTGCTGCAAGAAGCTTTCCAAGCCCCACTCGGCATGAGGTGTAGTATTAGAAGAAGAGGCTCCTGGTGCGCCTCTGGTAGCTGCAATAATCTCCATTAGTTGACGTTTGCGTTGCTTCAGAATTTGTGCGTGCGGCCTCTAAGCTCTGTAACGCAGCAGCATTCTGTTCCATCAACACAGTATTTTGTTGTTGCAACCTTTCTATCACTGATTCCAACAACCGAGAGTTGTTGGATGCCTCAGATTCATTGGGCTGTGGTGGAGGAGGGAGTCTAGGAGCCATTCGTTTTCTGGACCAGAGAAAACGTACGTTAGTTATATTCAAGAGTTAAAACAATAACTCACTAAACACACAATAAGCACCACAAAAACACAGTGTACTCATAACCCTATGTCCTTAAAAGAACAACTGCTCTGATACCAATAAATGTAACATCCCAATATATAGTAATTACCATAAATTAGAACTAATCACATTTATAGAATTAACAGTGCAGTCTTAAGCAAAACAGCTATTAAAAACCGAACAGTAAGCGATACAGTTCAGAAAATTCTACAATATACCAATGTTCAGGACGAACGGTTTTACAAAGCCAAATAACCGAACGTCCCAAAAAGCTACACATATATACTAAAGACTACAACTTCTCGAGCGCTCTATGGCTCGGCCTTAACCTCTACTTCGACTAGGCTATCGTCCTCCAAATTTTCTTCTTCCAGCGTTTCTTCAAGCAACGCCTCTCCGCCTACTCACATCCACACGGATGATCATTGCATTGACAAGACGGACGTACATAACCAGCAGACAACACAAGGAATTGCAAGGGTAAGCTTAGGTAATTTAATTCATACAACCAATATAAAATTTAACATATGCAATTAACAACACAAGACATATAACAATATATCAAAGCATATAATAAATCATCCAAACTCTCACAAGACTGACCGTCCGGACTGTATGAATCCATGTATCTACAGGCGTTTGTGCACTCGGGTGATGTGATAACTGCAAACACTCAAACAGCGCCACCCGAGGTTAGCCCTATCAGTCCAAAGTACTCAGTAGACTAGGACCTCCTGCCATTCCCACACATGACCTACTCCCCTCTACATGAGGACGAGCACTCACGGAATATCAGGATGAACAGCCATCAGCAGCTTTACCATGGTCATACTACATAACTTCTCATATTCAAATCATAGAGACGTTCCTCCTTGGAACGCTCGTTCAAATTCCATAATCATAGTTTCATCTATTACACTGTTCGCACGTTATATACTTCCTCTTATTCACATTTCTGTTATTTGTTCCACTTCCATAAAATGACGAGCGTTCATCCTTTTCATAATAAGGACGAACGTTATTATAGTACGGAGAAATCCTCGTTTCTGAACAAAAGAAACGAACTCCTGTCCACTGACGGACGTTACGAATACTTAAACTCAGTCAAAGGAACTGACTCTACAAACTCTGAATAATTAGAAAAATTTAAGTACAATGACTCTAGATCGAATCAAATGGATAGATACATCACAAATTATTTAGATAAATGAGCCGAGCGTGATTTAATTCAGGATACACTACCGCCAGTCAATGACCGAACGTCAACTAATAATTTT